ATTTCTGGGAATGGATTGGTATCAATCCCCATGGCCTTTTCTGCTTTAGCTGGGAATTTTAGACTCTCCTTTCGAATCTGCTCCTGGATTCTGTCTCGAAAAACAATGCAATATTTAGTTGAGTGAGACCAAGAATTATGCCATTTATAATACACTTTTCCTTTAAGTTCCTTTGGAGACGGAATTTTGACTCCTTTTGGTAACTTTAGGAAGTTTGCAGTAAGCAAATGATAAAAAATGTCATATGCCTTTGTCAAATCGAAAGAATATTTCCTATGAAGGTCTTTCTTTTTAAACTGCTGGTCTATTGTTCTGTCTTTGTGAATTAATACTTCACAGATCACAGGTTCTTTTCCTACAATCTCTGCTGCATCAATCTCATAATTAGGATCTCTATAATACGTCTTGTATGATACATTACTTCGTTCTTGTTCTTCTTCTAGCAACGCTTCATACCTGGACACCTTATAGGTTAGTTCCACTAAGTCACTAAACTCAGTTGAATCAAACTTCTTTCGAAGCCTAAACTCTAGACCATTTTGAGCCAATCTCACAAATTCAGGCTCTGGTAAGATGATCCTACATTTATTTCGTGCTCTTTTAAATCTGACAATAAATTGAGTAGCCTTCTCATCAGGCCTTTGACTCAATCTTGCCAAATCTACCATGGAAACCTCTGGCTCTGTTTAGAAGAATTGAGCATGAAATGCCTCATCCATTTGTTGCCAAGTTTAGATAGAGCCAGGTGTAAAGTTAATATGCCATACAAAGGCTGTCCCAGTTAGAGAATTTGGGAACAATCTTAACTTCATGTAGTCGTTATTGGTAAATTCACCACACTGAGCAGCGAACCTAGCAATATGCTCAACCGTTGACTGGTTTCCATTTCCATAAAAACGGGCAAAGTCTAGTATCTTGAAGCCTCTTGGGTGTTCATGTACCCTATCTACCCATTCTGGGTATGATTTCCTGTACACAAGAGTTTGAACCCCCCGAGCCATTGGTCCACACATTTCTCTAACAATATCAGCAATTGGGTCCCTAGGGACCAAATTTTGCGCTTGTTGAACCACTACTGGAGGAATAAACACAGGATTTGGTTGATAACCTTGTGTCTATGGTCCTCTTGGTCCATAGGGTGGTATGTTTGAGATTGGCTGTCCCTGTGGTGCTGGCTGCTGTTGAGGGTATGGGTGACCCCTTTGAGCCTGTCTAGCAAAAGGACCTGCGAAGGGTGCTAAAACAGGTGTTGTGTCTCTTCCAGTTGTAGGAAAACCTTCCAACCCCCCAGGTGTAAATTTGAACAAAGGATTAGTGAACCCCCTCGTGCCAGGTATGGCTTCAAACATGGGATTTGGAAACATCCTTATGCCATTATCTTGTGTTGGGCCAGATCCACCAATTTGCATGACTTCACTGTTAAGTAATGAGGCATTTTGATTTGTCATAGGCCTCAAAAGAGGCTCATACCAAGACTAAGGTGGTGGTCTTTCATGGTTTTGGCTATTAGTTTGACCATTAGCATGTCCATTACTCTGCATAGGCTGTTTATCTCTAGCCAATCTTTGCTGAGGGACATTTTAATTTTCCTCTATATGCCTTACATTAGTTGGTTAATGAGCAGTCATTCGATCCAAAAAAGATGTTGCCCATCTTTCCATGGTGTTCATTAACTGCTGTCCCATGACATCTACTAGGCCTCCTCATGGATTCATTGGTTGAGTAGATGGAACAGTGGATAGTCCAATTCCTTGGCCTCGTCCAATACTTTGAACATGTGGTACTTGTTCCGAAGTGCTGGTTTGTTCGACCATAGGTTCTAATAAAACAGGTACTTCCACAGGATGTGTCATTACATTATCCTCTGGATTAGACATTTCTACCTCTCCTTCCACGCCTTCTTCCAAGCGTTCATTTTCTCTTTGTCTCCTACGTCTAGCCATTTTAATCTGAGTCCCACTGGGCGTGTCAAAAATATATGTTGGCTTTTTTGGCTTTCGAAGGTTACTATATCATGCCAACAAGGATCAATCAGTCCTTACAGAATATTAATTGCCAACCAATTATCAGATGACTGTGTTTTAGTTCTTTCAGCCTCAATGAAGAGGACTTTTATTGGTGGCTTTGTTTAGGAGAATTAAACGAACAATGATTAAATGAAGAACAATTGTAATATTTCATTAAGTAAAATAAAAGACTTACAAATATCCAAATTAGCCTCGTAGAGGTTTACAGCAGCAGACTACTTGAAACTACTCTTATGAACCAAGTGCAATACAGTAGTTGAAGTACATAAACATAAAGAACAAGAAATGTAAAAACTGGAAAGGAAATAAAGTAGAATAAAACTGGTTTATTGGATCTGAGTCTGGGCATTTTTTGGGGCCTTCTCTGCTATTTATACTTCTCAATGACAACCATCGAACTGCATTTCTAACCGTCAAACCACCCCTCCATGATCACTGATCATGTTGCCTCATAGTTAGTTCCACTATGCCATATCTGCAGTTGGGTTTCCCTCCGAATTTTGAATTTAAATATGAGTAATCGTTGAAGCCACGTCCTTCTACATTCCTTTGTTGAACCAGTGTTATACAGATCCACAACGACCAATACTAACTGTCACGTGTACGATTATGATTGAAGATTCGAATTGTCTTCCCGTATTGCCCTTATCCTATCACGTGTCAAACTGTGATTAGCTTATACAAAATAGATAACCAACAAAATCTTATATTATAAATTGGATGATGCTTTTTTTCTTATTGTAACTATATTTTGTTAAATTATAAAACAACAAAACCATATTTTTATCTTTTTTAATTTTTATATAATTTTTTGATGTCTATATATATAAGTAAATTTAGTATATTATTTTATTAATTATGCATATACAAAATAATTTGTGTGAATATTAGCAAATAAAAAATTAATCAGTGTGTTTGGTTTCAATTTTCTGTATTCAATTTTTTAGAAATTGAATTTTTTGTTTTTAGTGAATATTTTTAAAATTTTACGTTTTTTTTTTATTTTATTTTTAGATTCACCTTAGTTAGATATATCTAAAAAGTAAAATATTTGTAAAAAATATTTTTAAAAATTAATAAATATACAAAAATATGAAAAATATACTGAATTCTCTTTTTTTTTCCTTCATATTTTTGGTATTTAGTGAAATTTCTAAAGATTGTTTTCACAAATATTATACTTTTTAAGTGTATTTACGTTAGGTGTATCTAAAAATTTTAAAAATTGCTTAGAATATTAAAAAAAAATAGTAAAAAAAAATACAACAAACAAAAAAATTTAATTTTTTGAAAAGTGAATCCTAAAAATAAGAACCAAACAAGCTGAATATATTTACCATTTTACCCAAATATTTTATTTTAGGGCAAAAAAAAAAAAAAAAAACCCAAGGTTTAGCGTGCTTTGCAAATTAAAGCCCGGGTTTTTAATTTTGACAATTAAAACCCTGTAATTCATTTTGTGTCACAATGTAAGACCCTGTCCATCTCCATTTCATGAAGTAACGGAGAAAGTCATTTTTGGCGCCTAAACCAACCCAAAACAATGTCGTTCCTCATTAGACCCATATAAAAGTCCCAAAATCCTTAATTTCACCAATTAGGGCTACAATTTGCCCCAATTTCTTCGATTTCGTCGATTTAGGGAAATACGATTGACGAATCCACTGCTGAACGAAGCTCTATTTTCAGCCATTACAAATATATGAGTGAAGGAAACAACTTGGGTGAAAACAATTAGGGTGAATCAACTCGTTGCAGTTGTGGAATGAGAGCAAAAATCCGAACTTCATGAACCCATGCGAACCCAGCTAGAAGGTTTCTTGGTAGTAAGTTTCCCAGTCCCGTGAATAATATGAAATTTATGTATATTGTTGTTCCCTAAAACCTGGCTTTGATTAGTATTTTGTAATTTATTTACTTGAATTTTTTTTTTCTTCAGAAAAACGGCGCTTGTGGCTTCTTCTATTGGTATGATCCACCCACTTGTCCTTGTGGTAGACAAGTGTTGCCGAAGTTGGTGGACAAGGTTGCAAGCTTAGGGGAGATGGTAACTGAGATTGTAAGATTGAAGGAGGATGTTCAAACTTATCGTCGTAGACAAAAATGGATTGTAGGTGGATTGATTATTGCAGTGATTGTAATTGGAATGTTAACAGTGAGCAGTTAGGGAATGTAAGTTACTTAGTTAGTTAGTTAGGTAGTTAGCATTTCTAGTTTAGGAAATATAATACAACTACAAATTAGGAAATGAAATGTAATGCAACTATGCATTTGTTAATGTGAGCTTAATGTATAATTTTGAATGAAATGATAAATCGTTGTTTTGTTTTGAATGTGTGTTTGGATTGCGGTAATGTTTGTTTGGTTGTATTCATTTTGTAATGAATTTGATGCATTTACAAAGCCAATGCTCTAAATGTGTTTGACAAAATGTCCAAGTGAAGGGAAAACAAATTACAAGCTTATAAAAAACAGATTACAAGCTATTGTTCAACCTGTTTCAAACCAATATATACACAATCCAAGCATGTATAATAACCATTCAATTGGTCAACCTATTCCATCTGTTCAACTTGTTCCAAGCATGTCAAAAATAGATTAGTAGCCATTGTTCAACCTGCTCCAAACCAATATACAACACATTCCAAGCATGCATAATAACCATCCAATTGGGTACATCATGTATAATAAGCATATATAATAACCATTCGTATATTGCTCCAAACCAATATACATCTTTCACTATTACAAAAATAAGTAGTTCACAATAAAAATAAGCAGTTCACCATCCATAATCTGTCTTCAGGTCACATGGCAATTACAAAAAAAACCAATTCATAATTACAACATTCAATTCACTATGTCTCTATTAACATTAGCCTGATTACCTAACACATGTACAACTTTATCCCTTCTCGTGGTTGCTATTGGTATTGATGTCCTCCTTATTGATGCCCTCTGTGGTGGCTGCTACTATTGGTTACCAATTGATGCTTCCCCAGATATTGCATCTAATTTGAATCTCATGAAAGTTTGTCGACTCCTAACCTGTTAACAAAAAATTATTAAACCACAATTCGAGCATATATGGAGATCAATTACAAGTAAATCATACTAATACATTACTTACATTCTTTGATGAACTTGCAGCTCCATCATTTTTACCCTTGACAGGCCCCTTCCATGTTCTTTGATTATGACCATGTACACCACACTTGGAGCATTTCAGGCTGGTACACTTCCTTTGCAACTTGAATGGGTTCTGAGGCTCATCTGGGTCTCTAATTCTTTGCTTTTGAGGCCTATTAGTTGGCCTTTTCAACTTATTAGGAGGAAGAAAGGCTCAGAACCTGTCTTAGGCCACTGATCTTGGCCATTAAGTAGATTTATCAGTGCCTCATAAGTTCTCAAGTATGTCTCTTTTTTGAAAGCCACATGCACATAATCCTCAACTCTCTCTTTTTGAAAGAAAATAGCAGCCACAGCATGAGGACAAGGGATTCCAATTAAATCTCACTTGAAACAAGTGCATGTCTTATTCTCTAAGTTGACAACATAACCTCTTACTCCATATCTAACTTCAAATAGAGCACCCCCTGAGCAAGTAGGTATTCATATTCTAGATTTTACCTTTGACCTTACCTTTGACCGTTCAATCTTAGTTTGTATATTTGCACATATTGGCCCTTGGTACTTCAACATTTTGTCCCTACATTCATGTAGCCTCACCATCAAAGCCCTCTTGATCCACTCTAACATGGTGATAATGGATCTACCTCTAACTGGTAGGACCCAACTGTTAAAAGACTCTAAAATATTGTTCAACAATCTATTACAATTTGTTCTGGGATTGAATGCATGCCTACACCACTGAGCTGGATTAAGTCTCATCATCCAATCATATGCTCTACTATCTATACTATGCAACTTATTCATATGTTTCTCCCAATCAACCCTTGTATATGCCTTTGCAGCTTTCCATACACAACTCTTTAGCTCCTTCCCTCTAAACTCCTTTTTAAAGTTTGCATAAAGTTGTATGAAACAAAACCTATAATGGCTTTCAGGGCACAATTCTTCAAGAGTTGGAACCGGTCCCTACAAAACATAAATGTTAAGGAACATAACAGACTAATGAAAAAACCATTAAACATACATATACCTTTTGTTGATTAATGATGAAGGTCCATCTATGCTCTGCACTTGTGCTAATACATTCAAACAAATTCTTTACAAACCAAGCCCAACTTTCTTTATTCTCACTCTCAGCCACTGCATAAGCAACTAGATACATCATGTTGTTTCCATTCCATCCTATCCCACAGCAGCAAACAATTGTCCTTGATAATGTCGTTTCAAATGACAAGCATCTAACCCAATCAATGGCCTCACACCAGCTAAAAACCCTTTTTTGATTCCATCAAGGCACATAAACATTATCTGGAACCTAGGCTTAATTTGAAGTTGAGGCCTCCATACATTGACGTCAACTCTTTGTAGACCGCTCGAACATCCTAGCTCCGCGCGCGAGGGCGCAAAATCGCTTTGTTCTTTAGGCTACTACAATTCTGACTCAATGTCACGGTTCTGAATCTAATCTCACGAAGTGCAATGTGAGACCGATAAATCACCAAAGAGTCCAAATCCGGCAAATCATTTTTGGAAAACTGATTTTTATAAAGAAGTGCCAAACATGGACTGTTTTGCCAGATACAGAGTCGCCACCTAAATATTTTATTTTGGAGGAATTTAGGAAACTCTGAGTCGTGCCTAAGGCCACGTGTCCGTCATCACCAAAGTTGCCTCGGCTCGGGAACTTGGGTACGAGAGGGAAAGGTCATGCAATGAGCACCCTCGCTCGCCCGATCAAAGATTGGCCTGTACTAAGTATGATATTTTGTTTTTGAAAACACATGTATTCTTATTCCGATTATTAACCTAGAATTACTATGTGATGCGCACAACATACAAGTATAGACTAGATTGACTAAGTTGGAACAAAACATTGCATGTTCGTTTGTTTGAAAATCGTTTGAAGTTTGCTACTTGCAAGTAGGCTAAGACGCGGATTTCAATGAATTGTTTCAATTCAAGCAATCCAACCTTCACCCACAGGCATTCAGGTAGTTAATCAAATAAGCAGTTAGCCTCATGGCAAGCATGCTTTCATGGCAACATACACATCTCATACAGTATGCGAAAGTGTAAACACTCACAGTGTACTCCGAGCCAAAACAGAGAACTAATTAGAAATTATGCATGATCCTGGTTCATGTTAAGATGGCTAATGCAACACATGCAAAAATGCGACTAAGATAGGCTCGACTATTCTAGAATGGCATATGAAATGTAACTGGATACACGTATTCAACTTCGAATTGAAATACAATGCAGTTAGTATGATGCACCAAGCTCGGTGTATGCAAAACAGATGAATGGATGCATACATGCAAGCATAAGGTATGCTAATCGAAATATGCCCTAAAACTAACCATCGTAAGCGGTTAAGTAAAAGGGAGAAAGAAATGGGTGTTGGAAGACATGCATCACACACACGCACGCTTATCACAACAATTGGCCCTCTCGACGGAGGGTCCGAATAAAGAGCTAACTAGTTAATCTAAGCTAATTAAACTAATTATTACATCACAAAACTAATTAACTAACAAGCTAATTAATTAAGCTATTACAACACAAATTGAATAGTTAAACGCATTAACTAATTAGGTACAAAACCAAAGCATAAACTAGCTAAGCAAATTAGCTAAGTAAAGCGATAAATCAGGAGCCTCAAGGCGGGAAGTATATGCATTCTCGGTCGCCTCATTCAGAAATCTGTCACGATGCCCCGATTTGCCTCTGTTTGTAACTGTCCCCAGAACCTTGCACCAAGCTCCACAAAGCTTCCAACTCACCTTGGGAACCTGTGGGGGGGCTGTCAGCCACCTAGGGATGCTTCCAGCCGCTGGCCGACCACTTTCTATTGCTGCAAACTAGAAAAAGTGATCGGCCAGCTAGTTGTTTTGGTCGGCCGACTAGTTCTGTTGCACTTCTCCACTTTGCTGTAACATAGAGCAAGAAAGGGCATGGCAATGTATTTGCAAGAGATGTGTGCACAACCACCCTCCCTATCATTTCATAAGCTCAAGGGAGTGCGGTTCTCGACCCTCGGGCCACCAATCACGCATCTCGATGCATAATGGCTGAGAAGCCAAATTGCACAATTCAATGTAGAATGAATGCACACATAAACACATAAAGCCTAGAACTCTATCATGTATGATCAAAAGCGTCGACGACCGAGAATTGAGGCACGTTTCATCACTTCAAGTATGAAACGTCCCTCGTTCCTCGTGTTCGGACTAATACCTAATCCAAACACAATGCAAGCAACAACATGCAAATATACAATGCAAGGCATGCAAAACACAATGCAACTACATGGCATACACAATACAAAAGATAACATGGCATACTCAATACAGTGAACAACATGATCAACTTAACAAAGCTAATGACATGCAAAGAAGGCTAATGCATGCATACACAAAGCAAGGCAACATAAGCATGCAACAACATGGCAATGTAAGCATGCAAATAACATGAAAGCAAACATGTTCAATGAACTTAAACCAAAATGGATAGACCTCAATCATGCCCAAATCAGTGGCCATAACACCAAAACAAAGGCATGAAATGTAAAACAAAGCATGCACATGCATTGGCCCATCAACTAGGCCTAAGAGCACAACTCTCAAGAGTGCTCAAGAAGTGATAAACATGGGAGTGTAACAACACTAAAGGCTCTGAAACAAGGTATGAAATGATGCCAAATCATTCAAACAATAGGCACAAGGCATGCTAGAGTCCTTAAGGCATAAGGTTAGCAAAGAGCAACACATAGGAGGCATACAAAACATGGCACAAATGCATGAACCAACCATGGACAGAGCTTAATTAGGTCTAAACAAAGACCAAAATATGCTGAGATGAGGGCTCAAGGACCTAGGCAAGATGGCATACAAGCTAGGCCACAAACAAGGCAACAATGCATAACACTCAAAGGCACTTAAAGAGTGGAAGAAGTAGGAACATGGCAAGTCTATATGCTCTAAAATGTCATGTTATAGGATGCCAAATCATGTACACAACACAAATGAAGCATGCTATGGTACCCAAAGCTTGAAGCTAGCATATGCATTTGTACTACAACTTTGCAAAACATGAAGCATATGGAAAGGGCAACCCAAAACAGTCCTAGAACATGTCAAAATGAGTGTAAAACATGCATGGAAGGAAGCCAAAATAAGCTAGCATGAAGGGCATAAGGCATGGAATATGCAAGGCAAATAAGGTGGATTACATTACACCTACCAAGACCAAGCATGAGATGGCTTCGCCAACAAAAATCAGAGTTATATTATGGCAAAATAACCCCAAAAACACATCGAAATGATAGCTCGCAAGCTTAGGGATGAAGGCATACGCAATGATTCATGTTTAAGACATAAAGGGCAAACCCTCCAAGGCATTGAATGAGTGAAAGATGCACGTGTATGACCATGAAACATGCACTGAAATCACATAAAAAATGATGCCAAATCATTGAAATAGGCCAAGCAATGCATGCTAGTGGACTTGATACACAAAGCTAACAAGCTAGAATGCACTATACCTATACAAAGCATGGCATGCATGACCAAAACAACATAAATCAGAGCTTAAGCATGCTAAAATATGGACAAAAACTTCTTAGAGTTAAGCCAAAATCATGCTAGAATGACATGTTAAAGCATGATACACATGAGGCTAGTTTATGGAATTGCACTACAAGTGCATGGAGCATGCAAGGGCCAACCAAACCAAACCTTAACAGAGGTATGACATGGAAAAACATCACCAAGAACATGCTGGGATGGACTCAAAACAAGCTAGAAAGACATGCTACTTCATGAAGCATACAAGACTAGTTTGTAAGAAATACATCACAAGTGTATAAGGCATGCAAGAGGTGACAAAACCAAACTAAAACAGTGGTATGCCATGCTGAAATAAGCCCAAATACATGCTAAGATATGACTAACATAAGCTTAAGAAATATGCTCACACAAGAGGCATTCAAAGCAAGCATGCAAGACATAAGGAGGGGGGATGACCCTCTTCTATTTGGGACCTTAAAACACCATTTCCACCACTGAAATTCCTCTGAGTTTCAGTGGTGAGAAGGCCAAAACTAGGTGGTCCCAATAGCTTAAAAAGAAGGCACAAGAACAAGACTAAACAAGGCCTAAGAGGGGGTAGACTACCCCCAACACAAAAGTGACCTTAAACAAACATGTTAAGGACCAAAAAAATAGAATTTTTTGCAGTAGGAAGTTAAGCTTAAATCAGCATGCAAATAGGGCTAAAAGCTTAAGCAAAAACAAGGGTTTAAAGGGTTAAAGGCTCACCCTTGATGAACACCTTCAAAGTTGTAACTCCAGCACTCTTTTGAACCAAAACCAGTCCAAAAACTTTAAAAACAACTTCAAGGGACCTCAGCTCCAAGAGTATGGTGTTTGAGTATGTGTTTGTGTGTTAAAGTATGGCAAAACTACACTTTTAGGCACAAAACATGAGCAAACAAGGAAGAATAGAGACAAGTGTGTATCTATAGCTCCAGCACCATTTTTCTGAACCTAGAGGAGGGAGGAGAAGGTTCTCTCTTATAGAGAACAAAGAACAAGCTTGTTGAACAAGCTTTGGCCTCAAAGCCATCCCGAGACAAGGCGCGCGGCCGAAGGCTCCGAAAATCGGAAATTAGTCTCCAAGCAGGAAAAGTGGTCTACGACCACGAGAAGTGGTCTACAGACCACTCCCTCCCTCCAGGGAAGAGAAACAAGGTTCGGTCCGCAAATCGAGCCGAAGCATAAAGAGTTCAAAGGCCCGGAGGCAAGGCACTCAGCCGAAAACTCTGAAACCTCGAAACAAACACAACATGCACAATCACCGAGCGCTCAATCGATGACGCGTGACTCTTAAGGTCAGTCAAAAATGGGGTGTCTACACTCTTAAATCTAGATTGGTCCTTATCAACTCAACAACATAATCCCATAGTTTTATATATTGTTTAGCATTTGTTTCCTCAAATTGCACCAATGCTTGTTTCCTAGCTCTGTAACATTTCATTTTAGATACTTCTACAACACAGTCATCTTTCACAGTGTCCTTAAATTCATTTATTTTCCAGGTATGGGTGGTCCTGAATTTGTTCACATACTTAGATGCCAAAAATGCACTAGTTACTTGTCTGTTCTTGTAACTTCTATTGCAATTGTGTGTAGGTTTGTATGTCTTAATTTGTAATGTGTTCTTTCCACTCATCTTAGAGGCATAAAGCCTCCACTCACACCCATCACTACAGTTGACTTGAACCTTCCATGTCTCACTTTTTGTGAATTTGACATCATAGCCCCCTTTCACTGCATATTCCCTCACAGCATCTTTAAATTCAATGGCATTATTAAACAACATTCTAATTTAAATTCAAATTTAGCCATATCAACCTCAGGGGTACTTTGGCTTCCCATTATGCTCCTTATCAGATCCTTTTGGGGTTAATAATTCCTCCTCAGATGAATTCCCATCATTCACAACACATTCCTCAAATGCATTGCTTCCTTCTCCATTTGGTTCCTTTTCTACATTACCATCAAACACGATATCATCCTCAGTTGGGTCATCCTCATCCTCAGTACTAGCTAAGAAATCACTATCTGATGAGTCATTATTTCTCTCATCTTCACTGTTTGCTTCATCTTCATAGTCATGATACTAAGGATGTTGAGCATTTTCATCATCATTTACAAGGACATCAGTAAGGAACAAAATAGGGTGAGGGGTGTCTATATTGTATGGCACATGATGCTCAACAAATAATTTTAATGTGTTTGTAGAGCCTAGATCTTGAAACATTTTTAAAACATCTTGGTCAGTACCTAATCTTCTTAACCCTCTAACCAGATCTTCTGTGGGAACCCTATAAAAATTGTTTGTAATCACATATCCCCAACTTCTTCACCATATATATCAGCTCAAGCACAGAAAATGTATCAACATCAACAGTATCAAACACATGTACTTTACCTCCAAAGTACCTCCTAGGCCCACCATCACTATCTATGAAGTACCCACTATGATGTAAAACCAATTTCATATTTATATCATCCATTGCTGCATTCACAAATAAACAAATATATCACAAACAAACAAAAAAATGCATAAAAATCAGTGGATTGAACAGGTGGCATGAGACCAACAATGAAGATAAAAAAATTTGATAAATCAATGGTCCATCGCTCAGTAAATGCAGTGGTCCATCAATGGAGATAAAAAATTTCATAAAGCATCCAAGACATTAAAGTAACCAATACACACACACATACCCATGCAATAAAGTAATATATAAATACAGAGTTTGCTATTACTTAATTCACAGAATTAGAAAAAGAAAAAAACAAAACTTCATATACAAATTATAAGAAGAAAGAAACGAAAGAAATCGTATAAATCACTTACCAACACTCCAAATAACAGTAACCAGCAGTACTTCAAACCTTGGTCCAGTTTTTTTTCCAAATCGCAACAACCCCTTTGTCCTAAATCGACAAAATCGAAGAAATTGGGCCAAATTGTAACCTTAATTGGTGAAATTAAGGATTTGGGGTCTTTTATATGAGTCTAATAAGGAATAACGTCGTTTTGGATTGGTTTAGGCGAAAAAAAAGGCTTTCTTCATTACTTCATGAAATGGAGATTGACGAAGAGCTTAAGTTGTGACACAGAATGAATTATAAGGTTTTAATTTTTAAAATTAAAAATTTAAAGTTTAATTTATAAAACACGCTTAACTTTGAGATTGTTGCGCGCGGCCGAAGGCTCCGAAAATCGGAAATTAGTCTCCAAGCGGGAAAAGTGGTCTACGACCAGAAAAAGTGGTCCACGACCATAAAAAGGTGGTCCACATACCTCCTTCTCCCTCCAGGGAAGGTCAAACAAGGTTTGGTTCAAAACCAAACCAAAAGGGAAGCAAGACAAGGCGCTTGGCCGAAGGCTCCGGAAACTGGAAACTGTCCTACCAGAGGGAAAAGTGGTCTACGAACCCCTCTCTCCCTCCAAGCAAGGAAAACAAAGCTTGGTCCACAAACCGAGCCAAGACACAAAGAGTTCAGAGGCCTGGAGGCAAGGCACTCAGCTGAAAACTCCGAAAACTCGAAGTGCATGCTAATGGCTTGGAAAATCAAAGCTAACAAGCTAGAATGCACAATGGCTATACAAAGCATGCCATGCACGACCAAAACAACACAAATTAGAGCTTAAGCATGCTAAAACTTGGACAAAAGCTTCTTGAAGTTAAGCCAAAAGCATGCTAGAATGACATGTTAAAGCATGAGACACCTTAGGTTAATTCATGGAATTGCACTACAAGTGCATAGAGCATGCAAGTGCCAACCAAACCGAACCTTAACAGAGGTATGACATGGAAAAAAAAAACACTAAGAACATGCTGAAATGGGGTCAACATAAGCTAGAAAGACATGCTACTTCAGGAAGCATACAAGATTAGTTTATGAAATTTACACTACAAGTGCATTATGCATGCAAGGGATGACCAAGACAACCAAAAATAGTTGCATGCCATCTCAAAATAACCCCAAATACATGCTAAGAACAAGCTAACAAAAGCTTAATAAACATGCTCAAACATGAGGCAAATGGCGCCAGTATTGAAAACACAAGGAGAGGGGATGACCCTCTCCTATTTAGGACCCCAAAACCACCTTTCCACCACTAAAAATCTTCTGGATTTCAGT